TTTACATTTTTACACCAAAGAGGAATCCAGAAATACTGCCCACATATCCCCATTTCTTAAGAGTTTGTGCAGAAGGTTATATACATCATTATGCTCTGTTAACTGCGGTATTGTGTAGAACCTTTGTTCTTTTTTGTTTTACCTTCTAGAGTTACTTGAAAATCTTTGTGGAAATATAAAAAAGATTGTCTTTGTTACTGAAACAACAGCATTGCCATTCTTGGATGGTCCTATAAGATGTTGTAAATCCTTAGTGAAAATTTTGTCATTTTGCAGTCAATGGATGAAGTTTATTAAGATTTTTATCTTCAAGGTGCTCAGAAGAACAAAGGTTCTACACAATACCGCAGTTAACAGAGCATAATGATGTACATAACCTTCTGCACAAACTCTTAAGAAATGGGGATATGTGGGCAGTATTTCTGGATTCCTCTTTGGTGAAGCATGTGTAAAAATTAGTTGAGATTGATGGCATCCAAATGTAGTATGTGAAATGAAAACAGAGGTGGGAAAATGGTCAATAACGTCCAGGTTGAGAAGCAGTGTTTAGCAACAGTATTGGCTAGTAAACATATTCTGCTAGAAAAAGTGGATCTCACCTAATTGTGAAAACCTGCAACAAAAAGACATTCTGAGAAGCCTGAAAAGTGGTTCCAAAGCTACACATGACCCTGGATTGCTCCTTTAATATCACCATTTAGCTTTTTAATCACCAGATAGATACCGTAATAATACAGATGACTATTACAAGTGATGGTGGAAGAGGGAACTTTCCAAAAGGCTGAATTTTGTTCCTATCCAAGTCCTCCTTAAGAGAAGTTTTTTTTTTTTTAAATCCACATACAATTCATAGCAAAGCTCAGCTTGTTGACAGACCCAGTTCTTCATTTCTGGAATGGCAGAATCACATCGCATCAAGGTCAACTGGGGGCAGGGTGGTGGTGGTACGAACCGCATCGCTTTTCTGAGTTGAGCACAGGCTGGGGCTACGAAAATATGGACGAACCAGGCTCCGAGTCCTTATTCACCTACTCCAAATCTCTTCGCACGGCTGGGGTTTCATGACAATTGATTTCCAACCGGCAGACGGAGATCAAATCGGAGGTGGGGTGGGGGTGGGACGAAGACTCGGAGCGTCAAAGTGGAGCATCTCAGCGTTTCCACCGGCCCGAGCAGCAGGAAGTGCCCGGCCATTCCGTTGGCGACTTCGTTCGCAAGACAAGCTGTCCTCCTCGGCTCTTCTAATAGGCTGATCCTGGTTGAAGACAGACGAAATGCCCATCAAACTTTTGTAATATGTGTTTTTTTTAATGTTGTACGCCGCCCTGAGTCCTTTGGGAGATGGGTGGCATATAAATCCAACAAACAAACAAACAAACAAACCAGCCCCAAAGTATTAAAACTAGAGACTTGTTGGAAAAGTTACTTTCTGCTTCCGATCGTAAACCGCGGTTAAGAAACGATGGAGGGAGAACCCCCCCCCCGCCCAGGTAAGCATTCGGGCGCCTTCGCCACACGCATTCGCCACCCAGCAGAGTCAAAAGAAATCTCGAGGTTTGCGATGTTGAGCCGCACACGCCCCCCAAAAGGTTTGCCCCCCCCGGGGGGGAGGAAACGCCACCTTTCGCTCTCCTGTGCCCTCGGGTCGTCAGTGAAGCGCTACCTCGGAGCGCTCCGTCCATCCCCCAGCGGAGGTGCAGAGGCAGAGCCATCGCTTTCAGGCATCCGGTGGCGCGGACTCTGGCGTGGGAGAAGGGCTTCCCGACTCACGTGCGATTCTCCGAGAGTTAGTCCAGCTACAAAACAAGAAGGAAAGAAGAAAGAAAGGGGGCGGGAAGGAGGGGGAAACAGCGGCAAGAATTGCCGCGCGAGCTTCGGAAGAGCCATCCGGCGCAGGGCGGGCGCGAAGCAAACCCCAACCGAGCACGTGGCTACGTGTTTCTGGCTAAGAGGAAAGGAGAGAGAGTAGGTGGGGCTTGCTTGACCATCTCTCTCTCTCCCCCCCTGTGCTTATGTGGTGTGTGTGTCCGTGTCCCGGCCGAGTCTCCGCAGGATAACCGCTGCCCCAACCGCCCCCCCCCCGCCCCGTCTGTCCCGGGCGAGACAGGCGGGACTGAGGACCCGGAGAGCTGGAGGAAGGAGGGCTTGTGCGGGGCTGGGCTGGGCTCCGCCCGTTGGCTTACTCGCTTCCTACCCGGCTGCGGAGCGCTGTTGTAAGCAGCTAGGAGGAGCGGCTAAGCTGGGTTGGGCCGGCCGACGGCGGGAGGTGCTGGGTCTGGAGCTTCACTAGGTGGGTGGGTGATAGGAAAGCAGGAGGGGGTGGCCGCGACGGCCTTGGCTTCCCTCCGACTCTTCCCCCTCCTGATAGGCGGACGATGAAGAAGCTATACATTGGCAACCTGAGCCCGGCCGTGACTGCCGAGGAGCTCCGGCAGCTCTTCGGGGACAGGAAGTTGCCACTCACCGGGCAGGTCCTGCTCAAGTCCGGCTACGCTTTCGTGGACTACCCGGACCAGAACTGGGCCATCCGCGCCATCGAAACTCTCTCCGGTAAGTCAGGAAACGCGGCGCTCGGGTCCAAGGAGAGGGCGTGCGGAGATACCTCTTTGCCTTGATCTCCCCCCCGGCTGGCTCCCGGCCACTATTCCGCCTTCCGTCGGGATGAACCAGGCCCCTTGGAGCCGGCAGGGCAGCGAGTGTCTCGGGGAGAAGCCCTGCTTGGGCGAGATGTTGACGCAGGGGGTGGGTGGGGGGCTTTCCCTTATTTACTCCGCTCCCCCGCGAGGGACGGAGAAAGGGGGACCCGGTGCCCCCCTCCTGACCGAACCGAAGCGATCCTGGATGCTTCTCAGAGGGCGATGCTGCCGCCAGAGCCTCTGAGCCGGTGCCCGCGCCTAGGCGCCCTTTCCCGTTCGCCCTGAGCGCGCTGCGCTTCAGCAGGCGGCCCGGCGGGCGAGGGAGGGATTTTTCGCTGATTTTTTTCTCCGATTTTATTGAGCGGCTCCCGAGCGCGGGGTACCGCTCCCTTTAGTTTTCCCGGCATCCGCTAGATCTGGGGCACCTTTCTACGAGGTGCCCTGTCCCAACTCGCCGGGAGCCCGGAGCAAAGAGCCCCAAATCCGCCCGGGGGCCCGAAGTGACGCGCAGCCCTGAGGCCGGCCAGTCACACCGGGGACGAGCAGAGCGCGGCTTGAATTGGCGGAGAAGGGACGTTTGGGCCAGCCCCAGGAGGGAGACCGTTCATGGGGTTTGAGCGGGCCGGCCTGGAGCGAACCACTTGCAGTAGTTGGCCCTTCGCTCTCTTGCGCACCACGCCGCGTCGTTCCGGGGGCTAAATGTTAGCCGGAGCCCAGGTGGGACGAGCCCAGCTTGTTTAAACACCAGCCCTTTAATATGGACATTTGTCTGCTGACTCCTCGATCGTTTGCTTGCGGTCCTGAGAATACTTTGGGCAGAAGAAATCTACCTGAATGGGCCGGGGGGTGGCGGGGAAGGTCCGCTCGCCCACCAACGGAGCAGGCTCGGAGTCTTGGGCTGAACCGCGGTGCTGGGGCCAAGAGTCCGTGTGAAGGGTCCCAGTTGTAGATACTGGTGAGCAGAAGGGCACCCCCTCCCCCCCGTCAAATGTTTCCACGGGCATGGGATGAAGTAGTTTCTTTGGCCAAATAGTTCACTTGAGGAAACAAAGAGGGCTCCCCCCTCCCCCACAGCATGCCTGAAATGCTTTCAAAGCCCATTTCTGCTTAAGGGAGTTTTTTACTCCCAAAGGATGGGTATTTACTATTTTCCCCCATCAAATTTCTCTCATTTTTCATTCTCTACCATCAACTCCGGGTAATCAAAAAATGAGGTGCCCACACTGAGTTGCAACAGAGTTTGGATGCTTAGCAATCAGAACTCTCTTGCACTTGGAAATGGATTCTTTTATTTTTTTTACTTTTAAGGTAAAGCAGAGTTGCATGGCAAAGTCATGGAAGTGGATTATTCAGTCCCCAAAAAATTAAGGTAAAATCTTTATTCTTCCTGTTATTACAAATTATTAGTAAATTGGAGAAGAATAAGCAGCGGAAAGTTACATCTTGAAGTTTAAACTGCAGTGCTGAAAATACTTTAATAGTTACATTTTTGCTTTTGTTATTCACAAGTTGTTTTTGTTTCTTGGAAATCACAAGAGTTTCCTCCTGTATCATGTGGTTGTGACATACAGTTTTTTAATAAACCTTGTTATTATTTTTAAAGGATGCTGTAAAACAAATGTTATCTTATGTTAAAAAAAACGTTTTTAGGATTCTCAACTGATTTTCACAGGGATTAAATTGTATAGGTATTTTAGTACCCAGTCAACCAGATATAAAGACATGACCAGGGACATAGATATACATTAGCTCTTAGCTCAATAAAATAAATATAAAAACAACTTTGGCTGAAAATGATGGGAACTGTAATTCAGCATATCTGGGAGAACTTGTATTCAAAGCTACTTCATTGCTTCCAAGCCTCAACTATGTGGGGAAGCTTTATTTCTAAAAGCTTCTTTTATGTGACTTGTATAAACCATGTCTTATTTGTGGTACTTTTTCAAAAAGTAGTAATCAGTGGCAGAAATGTGAGTTACATGGGATGATACTAGTGTTTTCTAATTTGCTATTCTGGTTTTCCTATATTCTATGTTGGCATATTTTCCACTGTTCTAAGTGACGCATATTCCCCAAAAGTGTAGTATTTTTGATGAGAGGGCAGTGAAATGTTTTTGAACCCATCATTTTTAATGTATTTTATTGATATTGTCAAATAATTGTTTCATCCTTATAGCTGTCTACACAGTTTTGAAATGCTTTCACATTCAAAGTTCTGCTCCAGTTTATTTCCAAATTACTAAAACAGTGGAATGAGTGAATAATGTTATTGGTCTTTTTTAAACTTCTTTTAATTCTGTTTATAAATTATTTAAAATTGTAAGTTTTGTACTAGTCCTTTTATAGCAAATTGGAAAACTGACTATCTCTGTTGCTCTGGAAAAAGCTGCCTTTATATTGGTTTGTAATGAGATCAATAATTTTTTTGCACCTGGGAGTGTCAAATGATTTCTAGTTTTCTGAAAATCTTGATTTGCTGGTCTATAACTGAATAAAGATTTGATTTGATCTGATTTAAAGATCTTAAAAGAATTCTTCATTCAGTTAGAGAATACTATACATTTCAACATTATGTTTGAGCTTATGTTTAAGAAAAAGTTTCAGTGTTTAAAAATGAAATATTGAAATTTAAATTCCAAAAATATGTGGTACATGAATATTTTTTTTTAAAGAAAATTGTCTTAAATCTAAATTTAGTATAAAAGTTGATTTCTAAAATGCTTGTGTAAATGTGAGAGAGTTTTTATTTGCTTCAAAGTGTTATTAAGTCACAAGCATAAAATGTGTAATGTGATTCAGAACTTATCTGTTTATCAGTGTGGCATTTCCAAAATACGTTCAGTCTATTAGAACTTTTGTTTGAAAACCCTTGCTCCTGTGTCTCATGATATGATCCTGGCCTTTGTAATTACTTTTCCAAAGGAAGTTCAAAAAGTTATTGTAGTTTTATGCACATTCACATAAAAGTAAGATTCATTGTACTTACTAGAACTGATACTGAGGCAAGCATGAATTGGGTTTTAGATTTAGTTGAAACATTTGTAATCATTTTTTAATGTAGAAGTAGCATGATTGATGCTATATGGTCAGATTCTAGCATGATGTTTTGTGTAGAATGCAATAAAATATAATTTCATATAGCTGAAAATATTTTGAATTATATGATAAAAATATTGCATCCAATTATACAAATATTTTTGTGATACTATGTGTTTTAAAATGGTAGAGTACCAAAATATGGGAATTGGAGACATACAGTTATTGCTACCTTAATTGTTGTAGTGGCAACTGTTTTATGCTGATTTTTTTTAGAGGGAAATTGTTGATGTTAATTGTATAAATTTGTCTTGTTTTATGTCCTTTATATGGTATTAAAATTCTCAAATTCACTGTTATCAGATGCCCCAAAATTGTAACCATTTTTAATTATATATTTTTGATTACTTCAGTCAGAATTATTGTTTTCCATCTAACCGTGTAGTTACAATGGTGTATCTTTGTCTAAACTTAAGAAAAAAATTTCCATTCTTCAAAATAGAATAGAATCTTTGATAATACTCAGTGGGAATATTATCATGCTTTGAGTTTAGTTAGAGGTTTAGAAGTCCTTGAAGTTTGCATTAACTTTTATGAGGTGCTCAAAATCCAAATCACTGTCCTTTGCTTAAGCTATTTTTAGATGATTTAAAAAAAACATTGATTGCAAGGCAACTATTTTGATGAGATGCAAATATTGTCAAATTTAAATAGGTTAGAAATATTATATACTTGAATACGTTATTTTCATACTGGAAGTTAATATACATTAATCATTTTAAACAAATAAAGATGAAATTTGTATTTAGAGTGCATTTTAACATTGTTGATATTTCACTTAGTATGGTACAAGAGTGTAAAATTTACAGTTTTGTGTATTAAGCTTGATTGTTTAAATTGACTAGAGAAATAAAAGTGATGTGTATTGCAGTGTTGTCTGGAAATAACTTGAAATACTACATTCTGTAATTAAAGTGTCTGTACAAAGCACCCAGTGAAAACCAGAATTCTACTTAATTTTAAGGTCCAAAATACTTAACATTTGTGTTTCAATACATGTTTCATTAAAACATAAATCATCAGGTATCTTATAGGCAATCAAATGTAATGGACACAAGACAGTTTTGAACTTGAGTGCATTCAGGCAGATTATCTGTCAAAATGCTGCCATCATCAGAATTCTGGGTTTTGATCAGCATAGTTTATTTCACAATATAGTACCATAGCTAGTCTTTTAGATGCTGCTGGATCCTAACTTCACAGCTGTCCACTCCAATTGCATATTTTCCATTCAATACATTAGATGGGATCTATAAGTCAGCAAATATAAATATATGCATTGTATTAAATGAATTGTTAAGCGAAGTCTTATAAAGTATCATTTTTCTTGGTGTTGTAGATATGAATTTAAGTTTGAATGTTCACTTTCAATTTTTTAAATTACTTTGGCACTGCTTTTTTATAAGAATCACCTAAGCTTTGAAAACAGTGGCAAAACATGACAATACTGAAGATAGGGTCAACAGCCAGAGACTAAAACCATATTACTCACAAATTTTAAAAAATGACAAATTTTCTGCCTTGTAGTTTAAACAGTAATTTAGACAATATATATTCATATTTCTGCCTTCACTATATGTTACATTTGTGAAGAAGACAAGTAGTATACAGTATATCAATTCTCAATATGTTTTAAAATAAAATGAAGCAGAATATTTAATTAGGTGAAGAAATAATTTGTTCCATAACTATGAATTATAATAAGTATGTATAGAATAATTATTGGAATGGGACAATCTATATAACTATTGTGCTTCTAATTTTGATTTCACACTTTTAATGGAAATTTCAGTGATACATTCTGAATTCCTATGAGGTGCAGTTATAGGGAGTTTTTGCAGAAACTAAAATGTATGTATTTTTAAAAAAACTTACAAAATTGAAAAATATTGCAACATATTAAAACAGCTTACTCAACATGTGGAACCTAATGAATTTACTTTAAAAATGATATTAAAAATAAGAGAATAGCTTCATAGTCTCTGTCCTAAAAAGCCATCAGGTGTAATTGATTGAAATATTTGAAAAAGTCATATTTGGTTTCTAGTTAATTTATATGAATAGGAAAATATATTTGATGAATTATAAAAGAAAAGAATAGTAATATGTCTTATCTCTTAAAAGATTCCACCAAATCTTCTAATTTTACACAAAGAGAAAAGTAATGTCTCTGTGAAGCAAAACACATGAATTACTAAAATACTTTTTGTGGTGTGCTGTGAGTGGGAAACAGTTTTTTAACTGATGAAGGCAGGAGTTGGGTACTACTAACTGATCTTTTACATTATGAATGGTTTTGTATTCTTAAAACATTGAAGACGCTAGACTTTATTTTGCTAATATAAACTATTATGTCATTATTCACCTTTTCTTCTTGTCAGATAGGTTGTAATATTTTATAAAGCAGGTAGTTTCCATTTAATTTATTTTTCTGTTTAGAATAAATTGCCAAAACTGTTTTTAGTTCTTTTAAAGAATAACATCATGGTAGTTATGTGGTATTGCACAAAACTAAAGTTATTATTTAAGAGGGAAATATATATGTGTTAGAACAACTTCTCTTTAATAATTATTGAATTAACTATCATTTCTATCTGACATATGATTAAAAAAATATTAAATTGGTTCCTCAGTAATCACTTTAGTGATTCATCTGGATTTTGTTGCTTCTGTGAGTCACTTTCATAGTAGTTTCTGAATGAAAAATAACCAGCCAACTAAAAGAACCTGAGAGATCTAGAGAGATTAAGAAAGTTGTAATATAAATAGTTGCTGAATATTGGGTCAAAGTGTAAAGTAATATAAAGAATTACTAAAGGGGGAACATAAAGAGAAGTCAGAGTTTCAACTTATTCTCCAATACAAACTGTCACAAAATATTTAGTTTGCATGGTAATTTTCAGGATTGTAAACTATGATGTCCCTGTATATATATTTATTTACAGTTTTCCTTTCACATCATACATATTTTGTGGACAGTGTATTGACTGGGTCAATGTCCTTTTAAAACAATGCTAACAATGATAATACAAATAAATCTATATAATCCTAATCTCCAACTTCAACAATACTATCCTCTTTACAGTTTTTTCTCATTTTTTCCATTAATTCATTTAAGCATATGTAACATTTCTTTTCACCATATATTTATTATCTCCTATTGTCACTTATATTTAATATTTTAAAAATTATTCATTATTCCACCATAATTTCAATATCCCAAATATTTAGAACTACTAATCAAACCAAATACTAACAAGAGTTAGTCAATCC